CCACCTCCAAAGTTTGAAATTGAAGTATTATTTCGACTAGTTATGCTGTACACAGACACACACAAAAAAAGCACCCATCATTGTAAAATCAACACATTCATCACTTCGTTCAGAATCTAAAATAATATTTTACTACTATAAAAATTTTTTGACTGTATATTGTAAAATCTTATACAAATAAATAATATTATTGAACGACTTTTGACATTTGACGACATCGTATTTGTAAGTATGTAATTACACATGAAAAAAAATTGTATCAAATTTAATTTGTATTATTTTGTATACATAACATTGTATTGTATTTATTTTATTTATTTGACTGTTGTTTTATTTTATTTATATTTTGTATCGTATTAATTTTTATATCGATTATTATTTTATTTTTAATACTAGCTGACCTGCCAAACGTTTTTTTGCCATATAAATTATTTCTAGGGAATTTATAGTGTAGAAAAAAAATAACTTACTTATTGTAAGTGTGTAAGGATGTGGTAAATGAGTGAAAGAGGCATGGAGCGCCGTGAACGACGAAGGTAGATAAAAATAACAAAACACCAAACATTAATGTTTTTAATTTATTGTAAATTATTCCTCAAAATTATATATATCATTAATTAATTTCGACAGTAACACTAACAAACAATATCAATTTCTTAATTCTATAGCGCAGGGGTGGGTACTGGCTACCAGCGAGCCTTTTTTATCTGGCCTAAGCTACATTTTCAAATTGCATCATACAATTCCATTGTTATTATCTACAAAAGAGATTGACATAAACTTTTAGAAAAAATTACCTATTCTAAAATATCCACTTTTACGAGAGAAGCCGCACATGCTCAAAACTCATACTAAACAATATTAACACTATACACTAGTAGCATTAACACTAACCAACTACAGTCGAAGATAAAAACACTCGGTCTACCTTGGATTGACTGTAAATACTCGCCTCAATGGGTTTGATTTTAATAAATTGAGACATGCATCCATTTTTTTGTTTGAGCTCATGTGAAATAGCTTAGTTCTTGTGAATAAAGTAATGTTCGGGTAAAGGCACTAAAATCATCGGTATGATTACACAATTCAAAAAATTCAGTGAGTGTAGTTTTTGGTGAATTTATAGCACGATCAATCGCTGTATCGTTCTTGAAAAATACACGCTGGCCGTTTTCAAGATGGACAGCTAATTGAACAACTGCTGGATCCCGTTCATGAATAGGAAAACCAAAGATACTCCAAGCATCTTCATTGGAGCTGATGTACCGAACAATTGGAAGAGCGTTATTTCATCGTTTTTATTCACTGGAAGAGCATTCACATTTGTATTTTCTAGTCTAAACACAGCCATATCACTGCCTTTATGGACATACTTGCAAATGTATTTGATACTCTTCACATAACTGTAGAACTCAACATTAACATGCGCATTGAATGTCTTACTTAGCTGAGGCGAATATGGCACCACCCAACGATTGTTAATGTTAATTTCTGTGTTGCTGATGTATGTTGCTGTTTAATAAACGATCGTCCGCCAGTATTAGGATTTCTTCGACAATATATTGGATATTCGTCGAAATTTGTGATCGTATCGTTAGTGAAATATTTAGGGAAATTTTTAGTACATTTTCCATCTGCAAGGCGATGGATGATTAAGAGAGTACCGCATGAGCCATGAATCATGTTTGCTGTAACAATATCAAACCGCAATTGGTCAGTAGACGGATCTGGAATTTCCGCAGAAATTATGTTATCGGTTTCTTCAGGACGGACTTGTTGGATTTTGTTGATTAACCAAGCCAAAATGTGTGCATGAGGTAATCCTCGCTTTTGCCACTCAACCGAATACAGCCAGCAACGTGTGGGACCGAATAAATGTAATTTAGTAATGAAACTCATGAGATTTCAACTTCTGTTTCAACACACATGCTGTAATATCATGACGATGTATTGAATTTTGGCCAGGCAATAGCAAATATGTAATCTCTACCCATTTTGGATTACATGTGAACGTGACAAATAAACAGTGTTATCCATATTCGCGCACGAAAGTCAGAGTATCCTGTATATATTCCAGCATATGACGTGGACTGCCTACGTACGATGATGATAGAATGACAGAGTTACCAATTTCAGCGGCATCGGCGTTGTTGACTGACAATAGCGTCTCGCAAGTGAATATACTCTTCCGCACGCAGCTKGAGTTGATTACATCGGTAAGTATCGTATTTGTTCACCCTCTATCTTCGCGTACATGTCAACCATAAATTGTTGACAAAATTCACAACATCGTAAAATGACATTGTCCAGGCCGCGTCTAATCATCAAGCGATACGCATAATAATCCTTCGAGCTAACGTTCTTGTTTATTTCGACTCCTGTAATAATATAGTATTAATTTAATTGTTTTGTTAAATGAGTAATAATCAAGTTCATGACGAATGAAGTACCTGATACAGAATCTCGTTTATAGTTTTATAATTTTTAACAAACTTTTACAAGTAACAATGTTTATTTTTATAACAAATCACACGTTAGTCATAATCCTCATCATCAATTTCGACGTTTTCTTCATTATCTTCTTCGCTTAACTCTTCAAGGTTGAAGTGCTAGGTAGGTTTTTGGTGATACATTGTCCAATGGCTCYGGGAGGCAAAGTTGCAATGTTTCAATTGAAAAAGGCTTACTTTTTTGTGGTTTAGGTCTCATATTACTCGAAAATGGGTCTAAACTTAGCAAAAGTCTCTTCAATACATCATAATTACAAGACTCTCGTGAACATTTTCTTGAAAAGTTTTGTCTATACACTATACAGTCTAAAATGTTTATTCCTAGCTTCTTCAGACAGTTGACCAATGGTTACTATTGCATGGGATATAACTGTGAAGTGAAGTTTGTAATATTTCTCTTTCGTCAACTAACTTGCTGTATCATAAGTTGCGTTCATTCCATTTCAAGGGGCAACTTCTCTACTTGTATTATACTTAATCTTTTCACCACAATGAGTGCTGCTAATCAAAACAGAGGTATGTCAAATAACACAGTTACCCATCGACCTAATACTAGAAGTAACACCAAGACAAATTCACCAGGAACTTATTCAGCTACAACACCTTCTAACAGCGATCTTATGGTGGCCCTTAATAACTTGCGCGATGAATTCTTATCAACAACCAGTACGCTCTAGAACACCTTAACCTCTAAGCTAAACGATCTGAAAAGTGACTTCTTAAAATTGTCAGAATTAGTATCCAGTCTCAAAACTGAAAACGCTAAGTTACGTCATGTAGATCAACTTAATACTAAAGTAGCAACCCTTGAAGCCTCGTTGTTGAATACTCAGCCATCGGCTATCGTTTCTCAAGTTATGCAAGAGACTTTTGAGCGTGAGATATGTTCTTATAATCTTCTTGTCTATAACATACCTGAGTCATCGTCTTCATCTTCTACTCAGCGTATTTTTGGACAGACTATTCCCTCTAATTTAAAATTTTTTCATCTTGGTAAAGTCCAAACTAACAATACTCGTCCACTAAAAGTAATTTTCCAAACTAAAGAAGCTGCAGCTAAATTTCTACAGGATTTTACTGATGCTAAAACTGATGGCAAGGTTTTTTCTTTCGACCTTCGAATTGTCAGAGATAAGACCTCTCTACAGCGGTCACTGCTTAAGTCATGCCACCTTGAACTTGATCAGAGCTCTAAAGATGGTGAAAATGATCTGTCCATCAAATTTATAAATGGTTTGCCTAAAGTGGTCAGGTCAAAAAACGGGATATCTCAGCAACGCCATCGAAGGGTCGAGTTTTAAATTYTACGCTCAAAGCTGAAGAAATATCAGGTTTCTATCAAAACTGCCGTGGTCTTCGGACCAAACTATTTAATTTTAATTGTAATGTTGCTTGTGTAAAATATGTTTTTATTGTATTAACAGAAACCTGGTTAATTGATTCTATCTCTGATTCGGAGCTGGGTGTTCCTAATTATAATATTTATAGATGTGATAGGAATAACATTACTAGTAATTGTTTRAGAGGTGGTGGCGTCCTCATAGCTGTAAGAAAAGATTTTTCATCAAAATTAATAAGTGTACCTATTTCTAATGTTGAACACGTTGTTATACAAGCCACTATTGGTTCTTTAAATATGTTACTGGGGGGTGTATATATTCGTCCCTATTCTAATCTTCTAACTTATGAGCAATATATGTCTGCAGTTGAGAACTATATACTCCAATTTCCTAACCACACTTATATTTTTCTTGGTGACTTTAATTTGCCTGATATTAGCTGGAGTGTCCAAAGGAAATTCCTCAACTATGCAAGTTACTCATTGAAAATTCCTTGACCTCCGCATGATTATTCCCCTGTCCTATCTAAGCTCAACCTATCCACATTAGCTAGCCGTCGATATTCTCAAAATATTTCCTTCCTCACTAAACTTATTTCTTCGGATATCGACGCTCCAACACTTCTCTCATTAATTAATTTTAGAGTGCCTGCGCGTTTTACTCGCAACTCGATTCCATTTCACGTCCCTTTCTGTTCAACCAATTACATGTATAATGAACCTATAAATCGCATGATAAGAATAGCAAATGAGGATCCCCACATCATTAGTATATAAGTTACTTTAGTTTATAATTATTATTAAAAACTGTATCTAACTGTATGTAACTGTATCTGTGTCGTATTGAGAATATTGTTATATTTTTATGTTATATGTACCATTTTCCTTGGATGCAAGCCCGTTTGATCACCACTGTCCACTATATAATAATTAATTATATAATAATAATTATTATTAACATTTTTAAACCCTTTCTATATCCATACTAATATTTTAAATCTAATTGTAACGAGTTACAAGTGACGTAAAATATGTACCCATAACAAAAAACAAGTAAATCATGTATGCCAATTTCATAAAATCATATTTATAACTCAACCCAATCACCATTGTCATTTATTGTACATGCTTGTCGCGTCTGGGTATTACAGTGCAAATATGGAGAATTGAAGCAGGTTCTAGATGACGTGATTAAGTCCAACGTGCTCCAAATCCAGTCGCTAAATGTAAACGCGTGTTGTATAACCTGTCCTGTGGATCCCAARGGTTCACTGGGTATTCGGATGCCGTTCTTGACGTTGTTGGTAAAAAACCTTGGTCAATATTTTACATTCGAAATCACGGTACGTAATAAATATAACGGTAATTGTATGTTGGCTTCGTTCATGCTCGTGCTACAGTTTTTACTTGTATACGTGTATAAATCCCTTGCAAACAATTATTTACTTATTGGATGTTTATATCAGACTTTAACTCTGTGCCACGAAAGAACGCATACGGAAAATCGTGACATACGGCAATATATACAGCGGCTCAAATAATGAAAATAATACTCAAAATCACATGACTTATTTCAGCTTGAGACTGTTTCATAAACATGGATGAAAAAAATACAACTTTCGGTTGGCCGCCACAGCCGTATGCGTTTGTTAGAGGYACGGAGTGTAGAAAAATGTTATATAAGGTAAACAATTCACAATAACATTTAAAAAAGCTTAAATATTTTTCAAAAAAATAATATTTAAGCAYGAGCGTGAATGTAGTAAAATATTTCAAATTTTTTCAATTTTTAACTATGCAATTTTATGAGGAAAAAATATATAATATAATATGTAAAATAATAGAAATTTAATTGGTTTTCTGTATCATCCAACTACTTTCTACATCACCATTGTTATGTGTTAACAGATTTTGGACAGCGAAAACATTCGCCGACGTTTGCGCTTGAGTAACTATCATTCGACCACAAAGAAAAGCACGTTCATGATCACGATGCCGATATGCATGGACGATGGTTGGAACCAACTGAACCTGAAATTAGCCGAGATCACGAGCTTCTCATTCAAGACAACTTACGTAGAGACGGTCCGACTCCAAGTGCACGCCAACTGTCGGCTGAGAAGGATATATTTCAGTAATCAGCAGTACAAAGACGATCAATTGCCGAACGTTTACAGGATGCACAGGATCGCGGTCTTGCGCGAGAAACCAAAAAGCATGTTAAAGAAAAAGGCGGGAACCGTTGAAAAAAAACCAACAGCTAACAAGTCGTAGAGTAGAATTAATATTCTTTTAATATACGAATAATACTGTCTGTGGAATACTTATTGTTCGTTTAATATCTGCACAAATACAGTGCATCAATATTAATTAGTACTTGTACCGCGTTTTTAACGAAAAATTATAATTTTATTATTGGATGGGCCGGGGCGTATAATGATAATACGCACGCCCGGACACCGAATATAATTACACACCACTAACAGAAAACAAACTTAAAATATGGAGGACTAGCTGGGTATGTAGTGGTGCAGCAGCTCGAACAGCAGTGGTTGGGATTGCCGGGTAAATACTGTCAAGCTATGTAGTTCGTGTTGTGCAATATGTATATTTGTGCCTAATTGTGTAGGTGTGTAGGTGTGTTTACAAAAAATTATTAATAATAGAAAATGGTAACTCTGTTGAAATATTGGTAAAAAATCATATAATATAATGTTAGTGATTATTCTGGAATGTTCGACGGAGCACTTATCGGATCTATGAGATTATTGATTTGATAACGATCAGGTGTTTCCGCCGAATGTTCTAGAATCAACGATCATTATAAATATGACGATCGCTGATGTACAAGTGTGTGTGTCAGTGTGAGTTAGTCCACTAGTCGGTAAGCCAGTCGGTACTCTTTCGAAAGTCCGTCCCGGCGCGGCTCTATTTTGTAAGTTTGGAAAGTACTTATGAATGATGAATGAAGTTATACGTCAATAAAAGTCATTATTATTTTAATTATCATACACCGCTCGCAGTTTATTTGTACATTGCCAACAGTTCAGGAGTGGGATCGACGGGTCGTGTGTATAGAAATATATATACATGTGTATATATAAACGTGACGAAAATATATATATAATTAGTCAGTTGAAAGTACGAAAGTGTCAGCAATACAATTAAAATGATAACCAGATCGAAGACCACCGTAAGTCGAAGCGAATCCGATGATACTTCGTCCGCCGATATGGGTCCGACAGCATTGAACGAGTCGGCCGCGGCAGTGAAAGACCAATCAACGACAGAAACTTCTATGAACGAGAACGAGTCCAGAATAATGAATGTAACGTCAAACCGAACCAAGGCTTCTCACGACCACCCGGAACCGTACGAAGTGACCTGTTCATGCAATGTTCCAGTAGACGTGGACACACAGTGTGAAATTACATTTGTGGTGATCATCGACACCGGCAGTCCTATCAGTTTGGTAAAGCGTGAGTTAATTCCAAATAATGTAAATGTAATAAAACCGTTAGATAAAAATTGTATTTTTTCTGGTATTAATGGTACTAAATTAGATTTGTTAGGAATGTTTGAAACCGATATTTCTGTTAATGATAATACATTTTCTATGTGTTTTTACGTCGTACCCGAAAATACTATGACTATGAGTGCAATTTTAGGTAGGGATTTTGTCACCAAACCCGGTGTTAATTTGTCGTTTAAAAACGGTATTGTCCATTTCGATTGTTACAAAAGTGAATTGAATACAACTAATAATTTTAATCAAATTTTGTATGTAAGCAATGAACATGAATTTTATAACGTGAAAGAAATGTTGAACGTAAATCCCGAGTTAAATATGAATGTAAAAGAGCCATTGTTTGAGTTATATCAAAAAGAGTATGATAATAAAATTAAAGAGGAAAGTACGCAGGATATAAATTCGAATTTAGAAATGAAAATCGTATTGAAACATGATCAACCTATTGCGTATAGACCGAGACGTATTTCGTATGACGACAAAGAAAAATCACGTAATATTTTGGGTGAATTATTAAGAGAGGATATAATTAGAGAGGGTAGAAGTTCTTACAGCAGTCTAATAGTACTTATTAAAAAGAAAAATGGAAACACCAGGTTATGTATAGATTATCGCAAATTAAATAAAATAACAGTTAAAGACAATTTTCCCGCGCCACTGATCGACGATCAAATTGATAGTTTAAAAAATAAAAATATTATTCAATTTTTAAAGAATGGAAAAAAATATTTGTGTCATGGAAAGGAAAAAATCGCCTCAGTTTCTTATCATTTGAGAACCATAGACATATAAAACAACTAGTTGGTTCTCAAATGATAAGAAACTGAGGCGATTTTTTTCCATTCTATGACACAAATATTTTTTCTATTCTTTAAAAATTTAAATTTAACCGAGGTGATTTGAAATGAATGAACACGAATGAATTGGATAACATTTTATTTACAATTTATTTATAACATTACGAATTTAAAATTAATTTTAACAACATTTTTAAATATAGTTGTAGTTTATTCATGCCTAAAATGTATAAGTTTTGTAAATTTTGAACGCATTGTGATTTTATCATTCACTTTCCTGACCTCGTGAAAAAATCGTACTTTGTAGTAAGTTTTACAAATGGTAGTAACAAGTTCATCACGATGTGTATCAAAATGAATTGTTTGGTCAAACAACAAATTTGATATATTGTTGTCACATTGCATGTTTTCAAAAATTGAAAATTTGTTTTAACTTCGATGACTAAAAAGTTCGTACATTTTTTTTATTCATAAAATCATTTATATATTCTTTGAAAWTTTTTTCTGTTTTTATGCATATAGTCTGTACGTCAATACTAGCTTTCCTAAGTCCTCCACAATCTTTTTGTAGCGCTAATGCACTAGTATGTGTGGTTGCATTTAGAAAACTTAAATAAATATTGCAGTTAATTCTTGTTTCTACTTTTTCCACCACAAATCCAGCAATGTAAATAGAATAAGTCACAGATTCACAAACAATATAATCGGTACTTAAATAGACAGTAAATTATAAAAACCATAATGGCCAACGGGCAACGGCAGTCGGAAAATGGATAATGTAAATAATTGATAACATAAACATTGATAATTCGCCTCAGTTGGCCAACATTCCGGGGACCTCGCCTCACATGATATTAGTATGGGCGGGCTCAGAACAGTTCTTCCAAAATATAATATTCCTGATAATATCTTGGAAGAACATTGTTGCCAACATAATTTGGTAATGTCCATAGGCTGTTAATATTTTTAATGGTGTTGCCAACATGTTTTAAAAATGTTTTATATTATTATAAAAAATTAAAATTAATTAAAAAATATTAATTGTTTGTCAAATAAATTGTAAATAAATGTTAATAATACTAATAATAGTGTAAAAATAGTGTAAAAATTGAATAATTATTTATAGGATGGAGGCTATGGTGATGGAGGTGGACCGATTTGGCGTCTAAGGTAATCTGCATTGGCTYGACCCATGCTTCTGAGACATTTTAATATGTCATTGTCTTCATTAAGCTGCTCAATTGATCTTCTTATTAGTGCTGTGTTTACAGCACGTTCCCCTCTAGAAGTTTGATCCCGGATCTAAACAAGAAATATAATCAATATGATTGATTATAAATTATAATGTTATTTAGTTTTATTCTAATGGTATTGTCTTTAAGGCTTACTATAAGATTTCTTTTTGCTTGAAACATCTCCACATAATACTGGTTTTCCAAAATTTTCAGTTTCTCTATAATAAAGTGTACACATTAAATTTTTTTATGAAATTAAAAATAAATTATTTTTTTATAGATTATTACGTATAAAGTCCCAAATGTTAGGATGCATCCCAAAAAACCTGAGAAGTTGATTGTGGAAAGATTCCAAATAATTATGTGTCCTTATTTCGCTRGCAAATACAGTAATTAATTCAGGTCCAACTTGAACCAACCAAAAGTTTTGAACGTATCTGTTAATTAAAACATGTTAATTATCAAGGCTGGGCATTAACGAGTTAAAAAGTTAAAGTTAAGTTAAGAAGTTAAGTTACTTTTAACTAAGTTATTTAACGAGTTACTTTTATTTTCAAAAG